CAAATATGCTCTTAAATAATATCCATGAACGTTGAAAGGAGATTTTCCACGCATAAAAATATTCTTTCGGACAATTTAAAATCATCGGTGTTTGGAAATATTAAAAATATATTATTTTTAAGTGCAATGCTCAATGTTTCTATAGGTAATATAGCTTAACTTAGAAATTAACATAATTTAAAATGTATATTTTGGTATGTTCAGAATGAATAATGTCACCAGTCACAATCCAAAATTTTCAATATTCCGTTTTTTTTTTTAATTAAATAAAAATTATAAATTAACTTATAATTTATAAGGATTTATAAGTTTAATAAGATAATACATTAAGCAAAAATGTAATTAAAATATTTTAAAGACATCTCGGTAAAATATAATTTTAAGGGCATTTTGGTCGTTTTTTAGAAAATGTTAGTATGGTTTTTAGTGTATTCAAATTCGGATTCTACTTATAAAATAACATAATTATGTGTTGAAATATAATCGAGTATTTGTCTAATCATTTTTTTATTCCCGCAAACCAAAATAATATTACGTTATTGAACTCAAAAGTTTAGTGCGTAGTAATTCATAGGAGAAAATACTAGTATGTATTTTATATTTTGTGTTCAATCGATAATATATAATACTGACTTAAAAATAGTGTAGTGGTCGGTGAATGATTGTAATAATATATTTTAGTATAATGTGGGATTTTTTATTCTTAGCGGTGAACGAGTTGTTGGTTTTTTAAATAATTCAAATTAAAAAAATAACTTGTATTTTAGACAACAATGAGAAGGCTATAGTAGTGAGAAATAGATAAGCCGTACAAATGCGGCGACAAATGGATTTCGATGAAAGAGTTAATCGACCTGTGGTGTTTGTATTTTTTATTGCAATCAAAAATATTGTCAACAGATCAATATAAATAATATTTTTTACCGTTTTATTGCTCCCTGCGCAATGTCGATGGTATTAAAACCTTTTTTTGTTAGCACGATATAATAATAATATTATTATTATTATCACGGTTCTCCACCGCCGCTGTGTATTATAATAAGCCAGTGCACGTACGATCTGCAACAGTGCACTGGGGTCCACTGCAATGGGGCCGTCAGCCTACATTAATCCTGTCAGAACGTTATTTGATTATAATATTGTAATACACAGTATTTAAAATAATTATCATAATAATCTCCCATCGCCAATGAGACAATAATAGTATATTATTATTTATTGTCAATAATCGAAGCAGCACACATATAAGCCGCGGCAGCTATAGGACCAGTCGCGGAGGTTATTATACAGAGGTATAAACATCACGCGTCACAACCGCGCGATCATATTATTATTATTACGTTTACACATCGACGACGATGTGTGCGCGTGTATGTTTGTTATCCCTGGTGTTTATGTGTTTTTTTTTTTTTTTAAATTAATTCTTTTTTTTCTATTTTTCATCGCGTCCAAGCACGTAAAACCAGAACCAACATAATATTTATACGCACCAACACGTGTATCATACCATCATTATACAAGTCTATATCCTTAGTTTTCTACCGGTGACACGTAACGTGTTCATTTGGCCGATCTGATAAGCGTGCCCGTGTACACATCTCGTGACCACTATAGATACCTCCCTCTACCTGCAGGGAATATCCGACCACGGTTATTGTCGTTGTCATCATATGTGCATAACACAGCAGCTACTCCTTAATACGTGAAAAAAAAAAAAAGAATGTCCTCTACCACAAGGAGAAATAAAGGAAGAAAAAAATATTGAATAAACATTTTTCTCCTTATCACGCCTACTAACTTAATTCGTGATGCGAAAATGCGTGTCCTCCGGCTGGTTACCGCATGCACGCGTGCAAGTTACCGTATTCCGATGATATACATTTACGTGTACGATATGTCTCAATCAAAATTGGCTTTTTCAATTCTTTCTCCCTCCCCCCTTCCTCCATAATAATAACTACATGGTTTAGTTTCCTTTTTACCACTGGTGGTCATCCAAACGGTTTTTACAGCCGACGAGTGAGCGTTTAAGAGCGATAGTGTATAACAGTAGCATAATTAAGGCCAAGTTTTGAGAAGGGAAGAGATTAATTATTTTTCATCAGAATACATGTTTTGATTTACTTTCCTTCGATACAATTATAGAATAATTTGATATATAAGGGGAGTAACATTTAACCAATTGACAATACGAAAAAAAACATATATAAAATTTAAGGTTGTTGCAATCAAAATATAAAAAATAATTATAGAATATCGTCAACATTTCAAAACTACTTTTTTTTTTTTTAAATTTTACAAGCATGAAAAGAAAATATAGCTGAGGGGATGTAGACACTCGAATACTTCGCCTTTTCATAATTACGCTACTATTGTTTAATATCAAATATTACTATAATATAAGCATATTTAATAGTTGCTATTGTTACTATAGTATTAAATAATATGTATATATATATATTTCTAGAACCGTGTAATAATCGTAAAGAATTCTATAGACAGAGAAAACGAATGGGATGAGATAGTCAAGTCCGTCCGTTCAATTATAAATACCATCTTGTCGCTGACGACGATGATAATATTTTAAAATAATTACACGATAGTAAAATCCGCTTTCGATACGCCTTCTTTCATCCAACCATCGCAAATCGGACGTACGATTTTTTTTTGTCCTCTCCCATTTATTTTAACGGTCCCTTCTTCTTTAATATTATTATTATTATTAATAATATTATTATTGTTGTTGTTATTACAACATGCTTGTCACTGGTCTGTAGGTGGACATAAAACATTATTCATATTCCCGAGACGTTTGCTGGAAACGCTTTACCGCAGTGATACTGTAAATGTATATACATAATATGTACCGGGTCGCCGCGGCACATGAACAGTTCGTCACTCGTTCCGTAACATATGTATAATTTACAATACACACACACGCTCGTACCTACCTATTATATATTAAAATATATAGACCTCCCGGACACTTCCATCGTAAATACAATAATCGAAGCCGTCACCGTTCTTAATAGGTTTCGATGAGAAATGGTTCTTTTTTTTTTCTTTAAATATGATTTTCTGCTAAGATTAAAAATAAATTATTATTTCAACTGTTTTTAAAATAATATTATATTACGGACGAAATAGATGAATTATAAATTAAACGATAGATTACATTTAACTCGACGTTTAAAAACACGTAACAATCGATCAAATCACGTTTGCAATAAAACCTCTATTAAAGGTAGTTACTTCTTAAAAGTAGAAACTTTTAAAGTCACCCGTACACCGATACTATTGTACATAGATATTTAGGTAACATCGAATTTTTTTTTCAGAGTTTGAACGTTTCTTAATTCTCCGTGCTAGTCTTCTATAGTTATTTAGGTGACTGGCTGTACGTATATAATTTACATTTCCAGCGAAGAAATAGCGAGGAACGTATAGCCTTCACGTTTTATAGTCGATACATTTTTGGTGTGAATTGAACCAAACGTTCATTGAAGTATATTGTTCTATTAAAAATTGTGTAATAAAATGACTTTTATGATTAATCTTATATTCTTTTGGATATTTTCTATGGTGCTTTAATGAAAAAAAAAAAACAAAAACAAACATCTGCAAATATTTAATTATTTCAATCAAATTATGGTCAATAATATAAAATATAAGTCGAACGAAACGATTAGTCTCTGAGAGTCTTATTTAAAATGAATAATTAATACAAATAGTTAAAAAAAATTCAATATTTCTCTTAATGTCATTCTAGTGATTTTATAAAGATTTATTTTTTATTTAAGTTTAAAACAATGTTTTTTTTATATTAATATGGATATTAATAATAATTGTGTATATTTTTTTATTTTTTATTTTTTTATAGACATCATATACATTTATATATATTGTACATGACTTTAATACTACTACTCGTACATTTATTTTATATTTTTTTTAAACGCATATTTGAATACTGTGCAGGAAAAGTATTGGGAAATAAGAGTTATAATTAACAATAATCAATCCAAATAATTATTTAAGGAAACCATATAAAATACCAAGGTTCTAAATTAAAATTAATACTAAATAACTGAATTAATTATTATTTCATACAAAATGTTATAAATTATATACTTTTAATTCCAAATATTATCTTTAGTATTTCATTAATGTAGCCTTTCATGCAATAACCTTCAATAAATAAATTTAGTATTAAGTATCGAAAAGTCAATAAAAAATTTGTTTACTATTATTTAATCGAATACCAATATAAATTCCAAAAAATGTTAGTATAGGTACTTTCCTTTGTATCAATAACCCTGAATTCGTGAATGTATTCAAACAATTTTACAATCAGAATATTTCAGTAACGTGTTTAAAATTGACTTTTAGGTGACTAAAGTCCCGTATATCAAATTATTTTATTTTTTGTATTCAATTTCCAAATAGAAAATTGAAAAATATGATAAATACTATTGAACCTTTCAAGTACTGTTGGACACGATGATTTTGAGTACTACAATACACGTAATAAATTTTCGTTAGTATGTAGCTGTATATGTATATACACAGTATAGGTAGGACATTTTTAAAAATAAAATCTATTTGTAATCAAATAAATAACTGATATATACCAATATATATATATATAAATATATACTTTATCATGATTATAATAAAAAATAATTCCACGAATAAGAATAATATTTACGCGTTTCATTTTAAAACGCAATAGCTGCATATGTAAAGGAAAATATTTCTAGTCGATTGTCGATTTATATAATTAAACCTAAAATAATATATTGTAATATGTTTAATATATATTACGTTACAATTATGGTCGATTTATATTTATACAAGTATCCTTTCGCGTATATGAGTACTAATGTGGTGTATACGCGGAGTACTACTACGTTTTCTGATTTAAAAACAGTTAAAGTTTATCACGCCGTTTGCATAATGCATTTTTAATTAATCTTTTTGTTTTGTTTTGTTACGTGTAGACTTGTTGTACAGACACGACGTGACGTTCGATAGCGTTCTTACTGAAGTGGAAATACTCGACACATGCAAATGTTCGGTAAGTACTGCAAACATATATGTATATAGTTAAGTCCCGTGTATACATTAGTCGTGTGCTCATTTAAAAAGATAAAAAGAAAAAAAAAATAGATACGTGATCTGGACAACAATGGAACTTCCATTCCGCGTGATTGCGCTCAAGACCGGGAATCATCTCCCGAGTCATCTTCTTGCGCAACATAATTATATGTCCGTCTACTGCTGCTGTTGGTGTTGTACTATTTCTAATACTATACTATTATGACTAAATGACTATTATAATACTATTACTATTGCTACGGCACTATATAGTGCACACTGTTCTTATATACCATATGTACGCTGTTTGTATACGCATCTAATCAATAACCTATTGATTATCAATCGCTTATAGATTACCGACGTATAACGTGTGTCGTTAAGTTTCGTTTTTAAAAAAAGCTGTTTTCAAAATGAATAAATATACGCATTAAAGACCGTAAAAGCCATAACTTTACTCACCCTTTGTTTTTGTTTTGCGAAATTCTTAAATTTCCATGAGAAACCCACGGAGTTCTAAAATCTAGGAATGTCATTTAGCCATAAATCAGAGATAATGATATGTTTTTAAATTTGATAATTTATAATATGTATTAGTTTATTACTAATAATAGACGCACTTAAGTTATTTTCAAACGGTAAAGTTGAAATAATATCGTATAATATACAGTTTTTAAAAATGTAATCATCTAACTAATAGAAATACCTGAGTTTGATTTAATTCAGATGTGTCTGTGATGGAACCTTTATATTGCTTTCAGGGAGCCCTAGGGCTCAGCAGAGCATAGTTTAAAAACGGCTTTTTATATTAGAATTCAATAGTTGTACTTGGAAAAAGCTTAACATTTTAATTTTATTCCCGGGCTTTTACTAGAAACGTTGAATACATCATATATAGTGTTATGGTTATTTTATCCTAAACTTTTTCATTTTTAGCAAAGTCGATTTAAATATCGAATACAGTATTATATAGCAACAGGGGGAGAGTCATGACGTCAACGGTCAATCACGACGCCCATAATATTAATTGACATGTTATCATATTAGAGCGAGCACATTAACGTATTTTCTATATCGAGTACGTTCGTACATGTGTTTTCTGCGCTTGTAATTCGCAGATTACTAATGTTAAATGTTGTGGTCAATGGCGTAATTGTGAGGGACAAAGGGAGGTCAAGTGCCCCCCTGACAATTTTTTGAGAGATGAAGGTATAATTTTGCCCCCCCCCCCAGATAATCCAACAGTACAAACACCACCTTTTATTAATGAACTCTTATGGGTATTATTTAACAATATTGGTACCTAGTACCCGCTACCTACAATTTATGTTAATCTAAACCACAAAATGAGTTAAAAGACTTATATAAAATCAAAAAATTAGATATACTGTATAAAATACATACAATAAAAATATGTTTTAAATGGTGAGGGGGAGGGGTGTCAGGGTTTTAGTAATAATAAATTTATTATATTGCCCTCCCTAGATTTTTCCCAGTTACGCCACTGGTTGTGGTCCACTATAATGACGCGTATACATAAAATTTTTACACTTTAATAAACATCACTATGTTGCTCGTTTGATAAATATATTATAGTTTACGAGATTATTTCGTTCTCGGTCGTTGGACGTAACGTTTGGTGTTAGTAAATGCGTGTACATAATTATAGGATGGCCGTGCATGGTGTATTTTTACCGCTTCAAGAGTTCGCTCAAGATTTAAAGGCTCTGTTATCCATTCGGAAACGTTTAAATATTATTATTACTATTATTATTATTATTATTATTATTATTATTATTAATATTATATATGATTCACTGCGGTTCGGTACCATCACGTGCTCTGAATGCAATACGAAACATAACGACGTTATCCGACCACTACAGTGTTATTGCATTTCAATGTACAACGCATACGCACAGTATACACGACACGGGTAATAAATCTCCTCGAGTGCTAATAAGTATATTTTTAACGATCTAACTGTTCATAAACAATTTTATGAGCAACAATCGATTATTATTCAGATCGACGTGCCGCAGTGTATTGCTTGTCGTCGTGCATAATGCGCGCGTATACGTTTGTCGGATACCGGTAGGTAGGTGGTGTTACGTTACTCGATTGACTGAAATGAGAAAACGTAAAATGAACGCCCAGGGAAGATGATGGTGTATTCGCAATGGATTTTGCAGCTTCGGGCAAAAGTGATATCAGTGAAAATAAAATCGATCGATATTTATCATTATGCATACCATATTTGGAGAGGTGTCTTTTTTTAATATTTTGTACCAAATAAACGCGTTTGCAATTTACAAAACGATTAGAGTGCGTGTAAGTAATATTATATTATTTATATACATATTTTAATACCACACACGTGAATATTTTTTGCATAATAATTTTACCATCGATTTTATGGTTCAGGAAGTTTTAATGAAATCAAATAAATGAAGTGTCAGCGGACACGTTTAAACTAGTTTTCTGATCGTTATAAAACATTTTTTTGATGAGAAGCGAAATCATTAATTTTGGAGAAAACAATTATAATAATGATAATACCCATTATATCTTATTTTTGAATACTTATATAGAGATAAATTTAAATATTTCATTTTTTATTTAAATTAAAACTTTCATCTACACGTGGTTTTTGCAATATATCAGACCCAAAGCTAATATGAGTGTATTACACAATATTAATTATTTTTAATAATTCTGTAACACGACTTAAGGTTATTTTTATGAATATAGATTGTTATAGATTATGAATACTGTATTCTTCAGTTAAGCGTTATATATATTTTAGACAAAAGTAAAGTATCTTAGATTTCTCTAAATGGTCCAGCAGACTTAAACGTTTATTTTCTATATTTTATAGAATACATTTTTCATCTAGAAATACGTGCGTCATGATACAAGATTTATTACAAAATATCTCGATTCGTTTGTTTATTTAACGTTAGCGTTACTTTCTCGAAACTTTTACTACAATCAATGTAGAGATAGAAAATAAATTTAAAATTTTTTTTTATATTCTATTTTTATGAAACTATATTTAAATGTATTCCTATAGTTTTCTTTTAAATTTTCAGTTTAATCCGTAGTTTTAAGTTGTATTTGTAAATATAACATCAAAAACAAAATAACATAAGGTATTACATTGTAGATATAAATTAATTACAATTTAATTCCATAAATTAATATAATCACTTAATATTTATAGCTTATTTGTTATTAATAACGACTTCAATTAATTATATTTATTAAAATATAATGTGGAGTGCATTTTGTTATAAACTATTTGTTAACGGTTAGGAGATACCTATACGTAAAAGTTTCAGATTTTTTTCCTCCCGTATTATTCTACAATTAAATTAATTTTGATTTCATTTTGAATGAAATTGTACTATCCTTTTCTATATTATGGTCTTAGCATTATCTATTAAAAAAAAAAAATTTAATTATTTCATTCCATCAAAGCAAGAAGTTAACATTTTTTGCTACAATAATGGATAAAACCTCTTTGCATAATTACTTTATTTTTTAAATCAATCATACTTTTCGGGTGTAAATTATGAATTTTACATCTCCAGTTCATATTGTTTATTGGTATGTACAGTTGAACTGGTTATATTATGAATTATCATATATACTGCGGGCCATTAACTTGTTTTATTTACCCCAGGGTTATAATAATATAATTCCCAGTGTCGTGCGTTTAGAGAGTGAAGCTAAACGGTAAGTAATAACGAATAGTGTCGTCGAACATTAAATCATTAAAATACTTACTCAACTATCCATGTAAGGGTTTTCAAGTGTGTCTACAACCAGAAAATTCGCTCATCCATAAAACTCTTAGGAAATATATATATGTCCGCTTGTATAATATAATATGTTAGAACTATTGATTTCAATAGATTTCAAAAATATATATATATATATACAGTGTGTACCAGGTATTATATTATTAATTATTTTACTATCATTACACAATTGCATATAATATAACTCGCTATGTCCGTAGACTCGGTTTATGTTTATTATTAATTGACAACAATACGTTCACGGATAGAACTCGTGGTCAGTACACAGACAGAGTATAAAATATAAAACGGGAAAAAAAATTGAAGTATAATAAATCAATTATTATGTCTTCTATAGTGATTGTAAATGCGTATTGAACGGAATAAATTGATGTCTGAAAAAAAAACCGTTAAGGTGTGACATATATAACTTGATGTGTATTTCGTGTTGTAATATCATACATATATTATTTAGTGGCCATCAATCGGAGTAGTGGATCTCAGCTGATGTATAGTTGTTTACGATTCATTCATAGCGCCACGTACCTGTATGTACAATCGTTTGAACGCCTCCAACTGGTGCACAAAGTAATAGTCGTGTAATTGCATCACGCTTTAAATCATATTATTATTATTATTATTATTATTATTATTATTATTATTATTATTA